ATACAACCGGTCAACTCTTGAAGCGCCCAAAAACTCTACACAAGAAACTAGACCAGAAGCCAACTAAATTGAAGGTAAATACAAACCAGCAAAAACTGAAAAAACATGGAACAAAAGAAAAAGATGAAATGAACATGATCCAAAACCAGTCCAAACCGATATACCAAAGAACCTCCATCACTAACTCCAACAACCAATACAGAGCATTAACGTGCAAACAACACCAAATAAAGGAGACATGTGCACATATGATCTGACCACCATCCTGGCTCCAATAATGTTGGTTCGATTGCCAATAATGTTGGTTCGATTGCCAATAATGTTGGTTCGATTGCCAATAATGTAAGTGAATTCAGAAACAAACATACTATTCTACAATGGCTGCTGAGACAGATATCGTTGCAAAGAGCATAAAAAACATGCTGATGACCTACAAGAACACGCATATCAAGCTGAAGTACAATCATCGAGTCTGGAATGTCCACAGCACCCGCACTTTCTCTCAATCGTCTTCCACAACCGCACCACCAACTCAGTCCCACCACCCCCACCCCATCCACGATCATGCCTGCCTTCTCCAGACTTCTGTCGCCTGTATATTCTCCATGCTTCGCACAATCAAAATCCCCTTCATCTACGCGCTCCGTCTCCCGAATCCTCACGCACCATGTATCAGGCTACCGTTGACTGTTCTGCGCGCCACGAACCGATTAAAAACAAATCCACCTCTTCATCAACGCCTCAATTCCAAACACAGCAACCCATCCACGATCCAAACTCCCTACCATATCTCAACACCTCAAATCCATCCCCCACTCTCTCCCAGTCCGAAAACCACATCCTCTCCAACCCCACCCACGTACCTTCCACACACAGACAAGCGCTGTGAACTATTTACAGGTTCCTTCGCCATGCTCACCCGCCTCGCCCTCCGTTCCGGATCCTTCTCCACTCTCATCGCCGCCACCTCCTTCTCCATCACCGTCACCTCTCGCCGCATCTTCTTCGCGTCCACCTCCATGGCTTTGCTCAGGGTGTCCACCTTCCGCGACAGCATCTGCATTCACCCCCTCACACACCTCATCATCGCATCCAACCCAAATCACCCCCATCCTTCCCGCACCACCGCTCTCCACCCCCGACCCCACCCATCACGTACCTCTATCGCGTTGTCCTTGTCCTTCAGACTTTGGTCCTTCTCCTGCGACGCTCGTCTTAGCCCGATCACCTCCTTCTGCAACACATCGTACAGCACCCCCGACACCGTATCCTCCCCGCTCTTCGCGCCACCCACCCACTCCCCCCCTGCCTCTGCCTGTGCCCTCGCCCCACCCCCTTCTCCCACCCCACCACATTCCGCTCCCTCGCTACCATCCCCTCCCCCTCCCGCCCTTGCCTCCACACCTTCCCTGCTTCCACCTTCGCCACTCGGACCCGCCTCGCCATCACAACTCTCCCCACCCATCCTAACTCCTGCCCGAACCTCTTCGAATCCGTTCGTAAAAGCCTTCAGCGTCACCGCCTCGCCTCCCGACCCAAATCCCCGCCCACTCTCCGACCCACCTCCGCCGCCATCCAACGACTTCGACGTCAACCTCCCATTCTTCACAACCGCCCCACTCATCGGTCGCAACTGGCTCACGCCGGATCGCCCACCTCGGGACTCATTCGCCACCCCCTTCGCTCCTACTTCGCTCCCCCCCACCTTCCGTGCACTCCCATTGCTCGTCACGCTCGAACTTCGCTTCGCTTCCACGCCGCTCCCTCCACCACGCCGAACCGCACCGCTCCCACCCTTCACCCCTTCCTCCAGCACTTTCAAACCGGAGCTGAACCTTCTCCCTGTACGTCACCAAACCACCACG